CGTTTAGTAATAGATTTATTTATTTTTCTTCTCAAGAGAGTACCAGAATGTGTATTTTATGTTAGTATTTCAAAAAATCTCCTGGGGAAGAATCCCCCCAGACCCCCCTGCAGGGGTTGGGTTTTCAGCATGTCAACTCTTTCACCTGTGGGGAAATTTGCAGGATTGGCTCCAGGTCGCCCTTTTTATTTACTACAAGACAAATGTGCCTTTTTATTTCATACAGTTCAATTTGGATTGAGACAGGGAAATAATCTAAACCTCACGCGTGGCGTTTCACTGTCAAGGGGAGCGTGTATGTAATTACATTGCAAATACTGACTTGAGCCCCACCACTGTATGGGTTAGCCCTACTATAGATTACCCAACACAAATACTCTGGCGCCACCACTGTTTGCGGTCTACAATGACAGAGAAGAGCCTGTCAAGTTTGGCTGACTCAGCATTGAATCAAAACGCACCATAGCTTTAAATCGTTTGTGAGGCGTTTTGCTGATCAAGATGGTAATCGCCACATTCAGCTGTAATAGGCATGCCAACTTGATGCTCTGCTCACGGATGAGTCGATGAGAATAATAAACTGTTAAGATGATGACCTTATGTGTGTATAATATGTTTCTTCTTTGTGGGGTTCTGCCCCCAAAAAACTGTTTCAAGTCCTGAGAAAGTCAAATAAGACGGTGTGTAAAACTTCACCAACAAAAAGTAACCACTTTGATTTAACTTGGCCAGTAGGTAAGGGCTTTCCACTGGATAATAACTGCAGCGATGTATATGTTTTAGCTGAATACACGTTTTTTAACCCTAACTGATGCAGTTAGTCACTTCTTTAACGTTTGTTCTTTCTGATGTAAAGTCCAGGTTGTAAGTGTTTGCAATGAAGTTGTGGGGCGCTGAACTGTTCTTTTGATTATTTTGATTTATGATAGTAATTACTTGTCTTTCAAATTTGAAGGAGGGTGAGCAAGCATTTTGAGGAACATTTATCATTAACTCCTCCAAAAAATATAGTTTATTTAATAATAACACTGAATATGTGAATCATAACAGTGATTGACAGCTGATAGGAATTATATGATTGTTAATATTATCATATTCATACAGACACACATCGAAGAGACAGTTCATTAATGTACTTATTGCAGCAGTCTGCATATATTTGGTACCCCTGCTGGTCTAAGAGAGAAACCAACTCATTCAGTTAAAATTCATTAAATTATGTCTGCCACCTTATATATTTATATTTAAGACTTTACTGATGTGCCACAATAATGTCACCTATGTTATTGAGTTAAAATATCAATATTGTGGCTTTCTAAGTTAACATTAATTGATATGACTGCGATTAAATCAGCATATATTTCTTTCAGGGGATGCCACCCCTCAAAAATTCTCCTGCCACCCCATGAATATTTTTTCTAGATCCGCCCCTGCTGAACTGCAAGCCCTTTCAGTGGTATCTGGATAATGTTTACCCCATGCTCGACCCTCTGAATGACCTGCTAGCTTATGAAGCGCTGGTTAATGATCTGACGCCTAAATTCTGCATTGACCATGCATGGCCCAATGCCTGGGAACACTCCCATTGTAAATGGTTGTCACTACCAGTCCACCCAGCGCTGTTATTATCGCACCAATGGACAACTGTACATCGGTGGAATACAATCTCACAAGTACAACAGCAACAGCAACCGCTGTCTGTCGGAGCCCGGCTAAATTCCACATACTGTGGGATTTTTAACAGGACGGAACTATCCAGAACACAGACACAAAGAGGTGCCTGGAAATAATGATGGCTGGAGACCGCAATTATAAACTGGTTATCCAGCAGTACACCACTCAGAGATGGAAAATACAATATCTCATCAAAGGCCACCTTGGTGGGCAGGGTTCAGAAGACAGGATGATAAAGGAGCCACGATTCCACTTAATCTAATGGCAACTTTAATGTTCCAATATTCGTTTATTGCCATTACTTCACAGGAGGGCTGGAGTGATCCAGACGCAGACACAAACAGATGATTTCCGGTCCTTTGGTGCAGTTTAGAATGATGCAGGCCAGGCAGTCACTGTCATCATCAGTTTTTCTTTCTACTCCTCTCTCAAATGCACGGATGAAAGCTTCAAACTGCAATGGGTCACCATCATAAACAGGAGTGTCTCTTGGTGGTAAGGTAGAAGTAAGATTCTGTTGAGCCAGCATAGCAGTGATGTCATTTTGCCTCTGGATTAGGTTATAGATGTCACCTTGATTACCATAGTTGATTTCAGGGGGTGTGATGCTAACATCCCTGCACATCTGTCTGTATATTTTGTCCGGGAATAGAGTTTTGGGTTTGATGAGGCAATTATTCAGTTGAATGTGGATTGAGTCTTGCTGTTGATTTCCTGAAGTAAGAGTTCATCCCATCTGATGCTCCAGAGGTGTTTCTTGATCCCATGCTGAGCACATTTATCCTGGCATTGGCTGCTGCCAGTTCAGTTTGTAATTCCGATTGTTTCTTCTTTCGTTTTAACTGTTCTTCCTTTTGTTTTAACTGTTCCACTTGGGCATCAAGTTCATGTTGCATCTTCAGTGCTGCAGCCCTTTCGATTAAAGCAGCCATTTCTGCCTGAGCTTTAATTCGAGCAGAGGATGTAGATGATGCATGTGATGAATAACTAGTTTTGTGTTTTGACTGAGGGTGTGATGCTTTTGAAACACTGTCATCAGGTCCGATCTCATCTGAGCTGACACAATGTGATGAAACTTTAATGTTCAATGTCCTATATTCGTTTATTGCCATTACTTCAGACACAGGCACAAACAGATGATTTCCGGTCCTTTGGTGCAGTTTAGAATGATGTTTATTGAGCTTTACATACCAAGGTTTAATTATTCTGTCAAAGGTTGCGGTATGAGCATCTGCCGGGCTGGTGGAATCGGTATGCTCTCTTCCTCTTGTGTCCTCGTTCTTCCGGTCACCTATGACCCCTTTTATACACCCGGTGCAGCTAACCCCCGCCGCCAAGTGTCCAAAATAATATGGCACTAGCAGTGGCGACTCGTCATTAGGGGCAGCCCCACCTAGTGTCAGCAGAAAGTAATTAAAATAATCATTCCAAAAATATGCAAAATATATATATCTTAAAATATATTTAAAGGTCATGTTTAGTAATCTGATTAGTCTGCGTTCTTCTGATTAGTGTCCACAGTGTACCTATTGAGCGATGTGGGGCAAGCTCTAATCTAGCCCCTCTCTCTTGCTGTAGAAATGAATGGGTGCTGTGAAAACTACACTGCGCATGCTCAGAGTCTTTTTGTCTTCAATGTGTGCGAAAAAAAAATCACAAGTGGGGCAAAGTGCTGGCAACCCCACCAAAACGTCATCTCATAATTCAGAGCTGATTGGCTGTAAGTACGTGTGCCGCGAAAAGTGTATAGCGATTCAAATCAGTAAAACGGAAAGAAAATGAATGAAGTTGACCATCTACTTCATATACTTCATATATTTTGTTGATCTTTGGTGTTTTGCCTATAGGCTATTGCTCTGCTGGATCGATTCATATTGTGACCTTGGTGATGAGTGTCTGTGTTTTCCTTATTTTTACAGTCTATCTATGGTGTTTAATGCTGAAGCATTACGGTTGTTGTTATTGTTAAGTATTGCTTTGTGATGGTGCCCTTTACTCTATGTATTAAGGTGCATTACCATATGACACCCCACGCTGTGTACGTAAATGTATGCGCTCACAGTGTTGCTCCGTGTTCTTCGTTCAAGGCTTCCGACAGTATGTCAACATTTGACCCTCCCCCCACCCTCTCTCTCCCCCCTCTCTATCGTAACCATGGATAGCCTACAGCTATTTGTTTACGTGTTTAAAAAAGCACCAAAAGCTTATATATAAACATCTAAGTTGTTCGTGCCCCATCACTTTTGTACATATAAAAACGCCACTGTGCACTATACATACAGTATAAATAAATTAAACTGAGACGCCAACTACGCCCATACAATGGCTCCTACATTCAGTGATAGTCTCATAGGTTATCAGTGACTGATCCTTAATGTAAGTCAAGAAAAAAACAGGTTACGCAACTACTGAGAGACATATAAGGGCTGATTGGGAAAAACAACTGATTATCATGGATTTACTCGTATACAGTAGATTGCACTGACTGTTGTTGTATTGACAACCTGCTAGACAGATATAACATATACCTTAACAGAAACAAATAAAAAACAAAATACATAATTTGTCCCCTTACATGACTACACAGACATCCATTAGCACACAGACTGCGATACAAAAGCTGGGACACTTCCCCCACGCTCTTACTGCTAATAATAGCAACATGCTTATGCACATCTGCACATTTGACATCTGTTCAATGCTGGGAATCAGCCAGGTTACATACTGCCTTTCCAAACAACATCATCGCTAGACAGACACAGGCTTGTATACGGAATGCTGAACTGTTTGTTAAAGTTGTCGTGTATTTTAAGCAGACTAAATTCTCATATTATTAAAAACGCTGTATAATGTTTTTTGGGGAAATGTTACTTCTGAGACACTTCTCGGAATTTCCTGTTTCCACATGTAATAGCATGAGACCAGCTCACCAGCTAACAACATTGACTACACTGTACAAAAACAATGAAGCAAAACTTTTCAATAAAACCATAACTGGGTCATTTGTTTTCAAAAGAACAATCTGAAGCCTTCACATAACCTTTGGGGATTACTGTCTTAATATACCAATATCCCAGTGGGCCGGTTTTGTCTTTTTTCTATACCTAACAGAAAATAAAATAATACATTTTTATTAAAACCAACAGTCTAATGTCATCCTTTACGACACTGTCAAACACTTTCTAATCAATCCTTCCATCAACAAGCTGTAAACAAAACCACCTCAGATCTCATCTGTGTTTCTCAAACCCATGTGTCAAGTTTTATCATTCACAAACGTTTTATATTTTACGTTTATTACATGCCATTCTCCTCAAGACACCTACCTTTACAATCCATTCTGCAAGTTTTGTCTCCATAACAGTCTACGCTTTCTCCGTCGCTCTGCTCTCTGTCCTCCCTGTAGTTTTGTTGTCTCTCCCTTAATTTTACATACGCTCTCTGCTTCACCTTCAATGTCTCATCAGCAGAGAGAATCCCACTTTGTGAAGAGGTGCTCTCCCAGCTGTCTGAACTCCACAGTCCTTTGGCCAAGTACCCATCATCTAACTCCTTCTGCTCACACCTGTCCAGGTAGCACTCAATGCTGTCCGAGTGTTTGAATTCTGAGGAAGCATCACTGTCGTCCACCGCACTCGCTGCATCGATCCTGGAGCCTGATTCCACTGGTTTAGACTTCCTCTCAGGCTCTGCCACTTGTTCTGTCTTTTCTGTCTGAGTGTGGTCGATTAAAGGTAAAGTGGAGGTTGTGATGTCAGTGGTCACACCATTTAGAAGCAATGTTTCAGGACGGGCCACTCTCCAGAAGCCCTTGGGAGGTGCCCAATGTCTGGTTGATGTGGATGTTGATGTTGAAGAAGCAGAGGTGGTGGCAGGAGAGGAGGAGAGCACAGGTGGAGGAGGAGAAGGGGGGGGCTCCTCCTTACTGCTGCATGAGTTATTAGACAGAAGACTCTCTAGACTGGTGCCCTCCCCAAGCCCACATAGCTGGCCTGTCAGCAAACTGACCTGCTCCACATTTTTTTCTCCCCCTTCGTCTTCAGTTTCCTCTTTCTCCTGGATCAACTGCTGTCTTCGTGCTTCAGATGGAGGGCTGTGGATTTCCAAACTGACTTGCACCTCTACCTCCTCCTCTTCATCACTACTGCTCAGGTTCTTTGCAGTGCCTGGTCGCCAGGAAGGGGCAGGCAGAGATATCGGACCCTTTGCTCTGGGCCTCTGCCTGAGAAGGACTTCGGATGAAATCTGACAAGCTGGACTGCTCACTAAGAACTCTGTGTCCAACCTTTCTCTTTCTTTCTCTCGATCTCTCCCTCTTGTCCTTCTCTGTGTGAGGGTCTTCACCTTGGTCTGCAGTGCATGCACAGCCGAACTCTGAGGAGAAGGAAGATGGGGTCTCAAGGAGGATGGTAGAAACACAGGTTCTGGGACAGTGATGAGTCCCCAATTAATGGGAATCCCGGTAGGTAAAGGAGAACTGGGTTTGGATTCGATTTTGTCGACCACCTTCTCTCCCTCCATTGGCCGGTCATGCACTGAAAAGTTCAGACAGTTTCTATAAATAAAGACATTTTGTGTACACATGCTGACAAAAACATGCCTGTATAATCCAGTCTACATCTCTGTTACCACCAACTTTCTATCTGGCTGTGTGGTGAGGAGATATGTAAAGTGGATTCAGTGATGTTGCCTTATCCACTGATTACTTTGCAGTGCACAGGATAATCCTTTAGAATGAAAATAAGCAACTGCTGCCTGCAACTGAGCCCCTGCACGAATACACAATGTATGAACGTTTACTGTCAGGCAAAATCAACAATAAATCATGAACAAATATTATTCTCTTTAAATAAGTTACCTTTATGCATTGAAAATCATTCATTATTATTTATTCAGAAGTTGGAGAAATGTACATATTTAAAAATGATGTGTCATATTATATAGATCATATAAATAACACATTGCTAATACAAATACTAAAATTATGAGCTTCAAAGACAATCACTTTAACTACATTCAGTTACATAACAGCGAACATTGTACCTGGATGTTTAGTAAAGGTGATGTCCTTTAAAACACAGTTCCAGCGTTGACCATCACGAGAAAAGTTAGGCTACCATAAATGCTGATGCATACATTTAAATTAGGCATCCATTATTTCAACAAAAAAAAAACCTTCGCCAACCGTGCAGATATTGCAGCGCGCCTCCTCAAATCCGTCGCCAATATAACGAGAAGACGGGCAACTTTCACTTCCAGAAAGCACGAGAAAACAAACACCATCTCTCGGTGTTTCTACAGATCCGAGTGATGTGCTTTGACTGACTGTATAAACTACTCCAGGCAGGCGAGCCAGCGGCTCCTCAATCATGATTGGTCCTGTAATCCCATCAGAAATCAGTGGGATTAGACAAAAATGGAATACAAAAAATGCCTGCTTTAATTTCATCCTTGCCTCGCGAACCCGATGCCGCGTGAAGCTCTCTGTTGCGTAAGAACACTCACCGACTCCCTGCACACAGTAATAAACCAATGAAAAGCACGGGAAATAAAACTAAAATGGCTTAATGGGCTTGAGGCTAAACGAGATTGGTATTTTTAATGTTTTTAAATGCTAGGATGTGTTTTTTAGTATACAGACTGATTTTGATTCGTAAAAACAACTGCGGGCTGATTCTTATTTGTCGATCCAGCTGTTCCCTACGGTGGCCCTGAAGTGCAAGACACCACAGCATTTCACAAAACACGACAGCATTTCACAAAACACAACAGCATTTCACAAAACACAACAGCATTTCACAAACACGACAGCATTTCACAAAACACAACAGCATTTCACAAAACACAACAGCATTTCACAAAACACAACAGCATTTCACAAAACACCGCAGCATTTCAGAAACACAACAGCATTTCACAAAACACGACAGCATTTCACAAAACACGACAGCATTTCACAAAACACAACAGCATTTCACAAAACACCGCAGCATTTCAGAAAACACAACAGCATTTCACAAAACACAACAGCATTTCACAAAACACAACAGCATTTCAGAAAACACCACAGCATTTCACATTGGACGGAAAGGGTATTCCTTTATGGAGAACACTTCTTGTTTGTGATTGGACAGAGCCAGCCAGAGAAGCACTGCTGTGATTGGTTGTTTTTGCTGCCAGTCAAGAAATTACGCTTCGTGATTGGTCAGCACCCGGCCGACAGCACCAGTATTTCCTGTTTGATACTGTTAAACTGTTTATTCACAAATTTTAAACTGAGTTGGAAAGAATGGAAGAAGAGATGGAAATCTTAAGGGAATATTTTAACGAAGGATATACATACGATGTTATCCTCGACATGCTTTCAACCCATCACGACATCAACATGTCCCTTAGAAACCTGAAAGCGCGGTTGAAAGAGTTAGGACTGAGGAGACGGGGTGACTACTCGTCTATAAGTGAAGTCAGGAGGGCCATCTTCTCAGAGCTGCGGGGACCTGGACAAATGTTTGGCTATCGAACTATGTGGCTGACATTAAAGCAGAAACATGGACTCCATGTTAAAAGGGAGACGGTAATGAGAATGCTTCGTGAACTGAACCCACTCGGAACATTGTCGCGGACACGCCGTAGGTTTGTCAGACGCACGTACCACTCTATGGGTCCAAATTATGTGTGGCACGTAGATGGATATGACAAATTGAAACCGTTTGGCATTGGGATATCTGGCTGTATAGACGGGTTCTCCCGCAAAATCATGTGGCTCAAATGTGGACCAACAAACAAGAACCCAGAAGTGATAAAAAACTACTTTATTGACTGTATCAGAAATGTTGGCGTTATTCCCATGAGACTGCGCACAGACTGTGGAACAGAGAATGGGTTAATGGCCTCTGCCCAGTGCACTCTTCGTCACGACCACAGTGATTACTACGCTGGTGACAAAAGCCACATGTTTGGGTCTTCTATGAGCAACCAGCGGATCGAGTCCTGGTGGTCAATATTCAGAAAACAAAGGTATGTCTTACTTTGTCTAGTATGGCACCAATACACTTAAGTAAGAATGGACATGAGTTGTTTCGTGCTGCCCAATGCCAGAGTTAGTATCGTTGTGGATACTGTATCAAATAATATTGTTTTCCCAGCTCGATGCCCGACTGTAAAAATACATTATTTAGGCCTGTTTTAAAGAACAATTACAAAGTTACATAGGCTAAGTAGACCTTTGTCTATAATAAGCTAAATGTATACATTTTGTTAGGTGTAAGTGTAAAGAGGCAAATGTGAATAAATTATGAGTAAAGTATAAGTAGTCCACATCATATTTGTGTATAGGGTCATTTGTGTATAACAAAACATCCTGTTTATCCCAAGGACTCAGTTCTGGATGGGTCTATTTGCTGATCTAAGAGACCACGGACACTTCAATGGCACCCATGAGCACCAGTGCCTTCTACGGTTCTGTTTCATGACAGTTCTTCAGGCAGACCTGGTTGAATGTGTTCACCTTTGGAACAGGCACAGAATCCGGCCCTCCAGACTTGCCTCTTGTCGGGTGGAATTCCTAATGAGCTGTATTCACTACCTCACAGGTAAATTGTTTATATTTTGTAGTTAATACACATTTCATGAACAGTATTGTATTACATAAGTGTATTTCTGCCACACCATAAACAAATAAAATGGGAAATATGAGCTTACACCCATAGAGGCTTACACCACACTAATAATAACCAAGATGGCCACAAAACACATCATGACATAGTTTCAAAAACTAACATTTCAGAGTATTTAGTTTACATAACATAAGTGTGTCGTTGTGATAAAGTATTCTCATACTTTGCTGCCAAGCATCTCTCCTCAAGCATCATTATAATAACTGCTTTATAGGTTTGGGTCACGGGACTGTGGCTTTGCTCTGGATGAAGCATCAACCCACATTTTTCAAGACAGGCATCAGACAGAAGATCCATGTGGTGATCCGGACATCAATGACTATTTTCAGCAGGCAATGCAACAATATGGACTTCAACATCCAGATACCTGGCAAGCAGCATCCCAGCTGTTGATTACACTGAAGGGAATAGCTGGGCTGTGAATGGGACAGTACCTTCAGTTGGGCAGCCGTGAGCCTTAACAGAGTTGGCACAAGACATTTGAGGATTTGGGAAACAGTGATTTATTTGCATTTAAGAAAATAAACGTTTATTCTTGTGAAAACGCTGCAAAACAGTATTGTTTTCCTTAAACATATATTAGCACTACTAATAACGTTGTCTTTTTAGACGTCTAAAGAAAACTCTGAAACCGCTGTATGAAACATATTTTTCCTCAAACATGAGGAACTCTACACGTTTATAAAACTCCAAAAAGCTATATTGCAGTGATGGTGTTCTACCCCTTTTCTTTTACCATTTCACAGACATCCAAAACCTGGGGAGTTTTGGATGCCAAAGTCCATATTGGCTTTGAAACTAGCGTACGTTCCTAGTAGTGGAAGTGTTATGGTGTTTGCACAGGTGTTTGCCATGGGATAGATAGTCTCCTGTGAAAACGTGACACATGGATGGGGTGTCATTCCTGCAGGGGGTTCTGTCTTCAGGCCGGTGATGAACATGAATAACTCCTCCAGTGACACTGGTCCTTGTTCTGTGAAACAAAGAGCTGTCATTAAACACATTAACATTCATATAATAACAGCAGATCCTATTCTGATCCGAACAGTATTTTACTGTACAAACCTTCACAGTCCATCAGATAGTCTGCCCAGAAGCTGAGTGCCACGGTTTCTGTAGTCCTCCTGTTGCTCCCTGCTGGACTGAGCTGTGGTAAGAAGAGTCGTTCCACTTCAACTGAAGTCAGCCTCTTGTCCGTATGACACAGCACTGGAGCCAGTACACTCGGATGTTGGCAAAGGGCATCCAAAAAGTTTAGGCTAGCCAGTCCATCTTTGAATCTGTTCAAGAATACAGTGAATTGTTACAGGCAGTAAAACATATGCAATTTTAAGGGTTATACATCTCTAAGTAGTATTTAAATACTGTGAAAACAATAACATGATACTGTATATTACTATGAAACATTTATTTTCATAACGTTTAGACAGCAACAATTTTCAAATCATTGTCTGAACTTGACCAATACTTAATATTATAAGTAAGTAGAGTAAAAGTAGCATCAGCAGCAGCGGTAATAAGGATGTTTTAATATGGCCTCAATCAACATTAAATTCCTTTAATTAAAAGCACCTATCATTACCTTTCAATTACACTGTGATTCCTGCCGATGGTGTACCAGGTAAGGTATTCTGCCACCACAGTGTGTTTTTCTTCAACGGAGCTGACATGCCTGAAGCAGCCAGCAGTCTGAAGCATGGAGCTGTGTTTCAGTAACACATCTTGCAGAGACTTCAGAGAATGTGCCAACTCAATCTAAATGGAAAACACACACCATCAAAGATATTCACATAACGGCAAATTATTATAATAGATATTGGACAAAAGAAAAAAAAACATGTCAAAAGTAGTTGAACGACTGTCAATGTTTAAAAAAAGGAATACTCTAAATTTGTTTTTGAGCATTTCAGATGTTCTGCACAGTCTTTTGAATAAGGGGCTTTTCTGTACACTTAAACAAAAGTACTGTGCTTCTTAGCATTTTAAAAAAATAACCAATTTATGACTGACTGGTGTAGTTTATTGCAATACCTCACTGAGAGCTCTCCCTATCTCATCATCTGTCACATCCGTCACATGTGCACAGAAACCAGGCTGTCCAGCTATGTGGTTCACCAGGTCCCTTGAAAGAAAATGTGGGCCTGGTCCTCCATGAACAATGGACACGGCTATCATCTTCCCTGCCATGAAATATTCATCCTCCCTGATTGCTGGGGGGGGATACAGATGGTGGAAACTAAATGTAATTACAGTACAGTACATCATATTGCCAAAACAAATTATGTACCTTTAATAATCAGAACGTATTTAACTAACTATATTTAGAGTTGTCTTCATGAGATGTTACGGAAAAATGTAGCTTCATAATATTTGCAGCTTTACAAGCAAATTATAGTTGAACTCATTCTTTCTCATAGATAACGATTTTACAAATTGATAGCTACTTTCCCTGTCTGTAAAGCACATGTAAAAATGTTCCCTGTGGAGTTTTCTTGTAATAAACAAAATGAATGTTTACATTAAAGGTAGTCTGTGATACCTACTATATATCAAACGCGTATTGGCATTTAAGTGTTACTTTTAAACTCACAAATAATCAGAATTGAATGTAGCATATAAAAAAATGTACAAAGCTAAACAATGTTTACATCAATTTGTACAGACTCACAGTCTCTTTCATGTCTATGCTGGTGCATTTCTGATACTGGTAGATCATTGAAATATGTGTCTTGCAGCGTTCCCATGTTGATGTGGGACAGAACAGGGGCCCAGTCATAAAATAACTGCCACATAACCCTACTAGAGCTAAAAACTCCACAGGGGACCTTTATCTACCCACGTATTCACAAAGTTACATTAAAACTGCTAAAATAAATAATACTTCAGTATATTATTCCTCCCGTTGACATAGTAACTATTACCATACTTGAGCTCTGTCACATGATCTATGGAGAATAATTATGATTAAATCCAACTATGCAAGGGCTGGTCTGACAACAAACCTGCAGCATTGTACACCAAGTACCGACTCTGTGGAGGTCCCTCAAAAATAGGCCGAGACTGCAAAAAGCTCATGAGGAGTGTCAGAAATTCTCGCCTTGGTCCACCTGCGTCTATTCCTTCTTCCACAGAGCCTGCATCATCCGTGAACCTCACAAGCAAGTCAGACTTTTCACAGAAGGTTGAACGTCTGAACCCTCTGACAGCTCCATCCCAAACATTTGTGCGAGTTATGTTGAATCTGCTGACAGTGTTGTGGTCTATGGCATCTGCTAAGTTTTCAATAATATGGGCTGCAGATATACTTGTGTCCCTTAAACGACATAAATAGATAACAGAATACAATTAAGCATATCAAATAATGTTCTAGTACAGACTCTGGAAAAGGGACTTTAAATACTATAACACTGTTTTTTGTATGTTACATCAAATGTGATTGAAATGTTTCTTCTAATGTTACCTTGACCTCCAATACCACACAAGTTTTCCATTCAAAGATTAGAGCCAATACAATTACAACTTACACAGCTTCCTTTGCAGGGTCAGCGCTTATGGGCACAACATTGAAATCTTGACTCCCGTCCTCATCTTCATCAATTGCAATGGGAGCATACAACTGTGTGTATGTGCTGCAAAAAAACAAATGTTATGAAAACAATGGTGCACAACACTTTATTCTACACCTTGAATCTTGCATGGTGAACGTTGCAACCTTGCAATGTAGCAACCAAGGTTAAACTAAACATTACCTGTACAATGGGTTGACAGTGGACCTCACAGCAGTCATGTTGGAAGGGGTATCTGGAACACTAATCATGAATCATTAGTGTAGGGTCTCTGTCTTGTGTAATAATATGAATACAGATCAGTGGCTCAAGTCAATACCTTGTAGCAGTGTTCCTCCAACTTTGAGAAGTGCCCTCATTGGGGTCATCAGTGTCCGAAATGAGTATCTGATTTGAGATTAACATTTTAGCATACATGTGAACAAATCACAATATTACATAGTTTAAAAACGCAATAATACATTAAATGTCTAATGTAATAGTTTTACCAAAAAGGAATTTTTTAAATGTTTATTTCTTTTAACTTAAATGTTTTACATGGATTATAAGGAAGGAAACAGCACAAATACCCTACCTCTTCCTTTTCACTCTGATATGATGCCCTGGAAGAGCCGTTTGAAGGAAAGAAGGATGGAAGAAAGTGAGGGAGGAGGACAGAGAGAAAAAAGAAAAGAAACAAAGAAATACAGAATTAATGTACGAGTATTTGCCATGACTGACATTAACACGTTTTTTTAATCCAGTCCAATTAATGCATTTCGATTTAAGTACTACATTTATAATTGGCTTGTGGTGCAGACAAATTCCATACATTGTGTTTTTTGGGATATAATTTCCTAAAATTGTATTAGGAATCTTAGGATAGTAGATTGTGGCCAAGGAGGAATAATAACAATAATAACAACATTTTCTAAATATATAGAACATTAACCTTAATGAAATCAATAACCTTGGTTCACATGGTTATTTTCTTTTTGCTATTTTTCTTTCATTTTCCCCCTTTTGTTGATTGTTATTTTATTACATTAACATGTCATGTAACTGTCTTTTTTTTAATATATTTGTTGTGTATATATATATAAATCAATTATTTATATGTATGTATAGTGATGCAGGTAACACCTGAAATGCAGCTGTATTAGCATACTTACAATACAAAAATTAAACGTTTGGTTGCACACGAAATAAGAGATATTCACATCATGTAGTCAAAGAGATTAACTCTGATAACGGGTCCAACAAATGCAGTCAAAACCCTTTAAAGAGTAAGTCACCACTGCATTTCTCCAAAGGTTTATAATACACAGTGCCAAGAATGAACCTTTTACCTTGTTTTCTCTGCAGTGCTTTTTGGAGTACTTTCATGCTCAGGTTCCCAGGGCTGAAAAATACAGTAAAAAAAGTATTCATTGTGCAGCCCCAGTGACCTTACTTGATCTGTAAATGCTGCATGTGTCGCCAGACTTTTTTTTAGCCATTTTATGTGAATCCACTTGAAAAAATTATGCACCTTTTGGTTGGGAAATTGACATAAAAAGTTGATCTGCTTGTGTGTGTCCAAACTTTCTACAAACTCTTATGAAGTATCTGAATTCATTTGGAAATGATGCGCCTTTTTTTGAAGACAAAGTGCACACAAGAGTCACGTTGGAAGTAAGGCAGTAAGACAGAAAATACATAAAGAAAGACAGCTTAATAACCACATACATTACATCTGGTTTTCACACACACACACACACACACACACACACACACACACACACACACACACACACACACACACACACACACACACACACACACACACACACACACACACACACACACACACACACACACACACCACACACACACACACACACACACACACACACACACACACACACACACACACACACCACACACACACACACACACACACACACACACACACACACACACACACCAGTGTGTCAGCAAGGTCAACCTCAGTCCCTCTGTTGCGTCTCACGAAGACTTCCCGATCAGAGTCTGATGCATCTTGTTGTTCACCTATGGTAAAGCAGCTTGTGAGTGACATTTTGATTGCTGACCAACCTGAAATTAAATCTGCATAGCCTGAAAAAAAGGACTTACCTTTGTCATAATCAGATTCAAGACATATAAAGAGAGCAATTCGGTTGTAGGTCTTCCCTATTTCCATTTTATACTCTCTCAGATTAAATGGCGTTGAAGTACCAGGAATATTAATTACTTCTGATGTGTCTGGGTAAATGAGGACATAGGGGCCCTCATCCATATCCGAATTAAAGTCAGTCATCTTCTTGACTGCCAATCCATGCAACCCAGCTGCGTCAGTGTCAGGATCCAGAATCAGTGGAAGAGTTTTCCCTCTGACAGGTTTCATGATGTTCTTTTGAAGAGACATGATTCCAATATTTATCTGTGCAATGAAAATAAATTAGGTGTAATCAACTTGCAAATCAGATTCTATCTCAATGCTTTTATCTGGTTAAATAAAGGTTAAATAAAAATAAATAAAAACTTGGTACATGAAATCACACAATTAACAGTGGATAGTAACTATTATTATACAAGTCATTATGTGCTGTAATATCTCAGATAAGTGTGCAGACCCTGTGTAGCAGAAAATGCTTAGAGAAAAACACTATACAACAATATACATACAGGCATGCATGTATGTATGTATGTATGTATGTATGTATGTATGTACAAGTCAAATCTACCATTATTCTTCCCTGATTGGCAAACCGACAAACAAACATAAAATGCCAATAACAAAAACACTGCTAAAATGGCTATTCCCTTTTATGCAATTCATAGCAGAAACGGATGTAATACATTATTTTTAATTAAACGATTTCTAGAAAGTTGTCCAGTTACAAAAAAAAAGGATGAAGACGCTTTACCATCACTTGGATACATCACATAGGCCTGCTTATAACTTATATATTCTCAACCATGGTGATGTTTGACAAATGCGGATAACCAAGAAGATTTTACACGACTAAATACAACAACTTCTTAAACCAAACCTGCTAGTGCATCTTTTTGAACTTAGCTGACCATGACCAAGACGTTTTAGAGTTAACCACATACATGATGTAATTTTCAGACACACATTTTTCCCTTTAATCATGATTTACTAATAAATCTGAGCTGTCCAATTGTAACACAGTAAAAGTAATTATTTTATCACCTAAAACAGGTACCATCTTTCTTGCCTAGTAAACCATATCTTCCAGCACTTCCTCTCCCATATTGGCTACCTGTACTTTACTTGTCTGTTCTTTCTTCTTCACTTTTCTCTTCTGGCAAGAGAAATTAAGCCTTTCGTCTGACTTCTTACTTCTGTACTCGAGGAAAGTTTTCAGGGATGGCATTTTTGGGGCAGCAGCTAACGTTACACAAACAGAGAAAAACAATGTTATGATAACCAAGCTGAAGTTAGCCTGGGTTATTTATTTGCATTCACATTATATGCGAGTATGAGTTCAAACCTTATGTCTATGGTTCAAACATGAATCACGAGACAGGCTTAAAGGTTTTACAGAGCATTGTTACACAGTTTGAGTTGATGTTTTACCTGGAATCGGGCCACTGAAGTCCGGTTCATGTTTAGTTTCTTCTAATGCAGCCAATGACTGTCCACAAGAACTGCAAAAATGTTGAAGTGACTGAAATGTCTTCCCACAACGCGGACAATACATAACTTCAGAGTCAGAAGTCGCGCGCGCAATGGGCGAAAACACGCAGAGTAAAAAGTAAAAAGTATACAGTCTATGAGTAAAACCGCCACGTGCCTTCAAATATTCTAGACTTTCGGTCGCTGACCAATGACGAAGCAACATTTCTCTTGACTGGCAGCAAAAACAACCAATCACAGCAGTGCTTCTCTGGCTGGCTCTGTCCAATCACAAACAAGAAGTGTTCTCCATAAAGGAATACCCTTTCCGTCCAATGTGAAATGCTGCGGTGTTTTCTGAAATGCTGTTGTGTTTTCTGAAATGCTGTTGTGTTTTGTGAAATGCTGTTGTGTTTTGTGAAATGCTGTCGTGTTTTGTGAAATGTTGTCGTGTTTTGTGAAATGCTGTTGTGTTTGTGAAATGCTGCGGTGTTTTGTGAAATGCTGTTGTGTTTTGTGAAATGCTGTTGTGTTTTGTGAAATGCTGTTGTGTTTTGTGAAATGCTGTTGTGTTTTGTGAAATGCTGCGGTGTTTTGTGAAATGCTGTTGTGTTTTGTGAAATGCTGTTGTGTTTTGTGAAATGCTGTTGTGTTTTGTGAAATGCTGCGGTGTTTTGTGAAATGCTGTTGTGTTTTGTGAAATGCTGTTGTGTTTTGTGAAATGCTGTTGTGTTTTGTGAAATGCTGTTGTGTTTTGTGAAATGCTGTTGTGTTTTGTGAAATGCTGCGGTGTTTTGTGAAATGCTGTTGTGTTTTGTGAAATGCTGTTGTGTTTTGTGAAATGCTGTTGTGTTTTGTGAAATGCTGCGGTGTTTTGTGAAATGCTGTTGTGTTTTGTGAAATGCTGTAGTGTTTTGTGAAATGCTGTGGTGTCTTGCACTTCAGGGCCACCGTAGTTCCCTCTCTCTATCTTGGTTAATTCCAGCTCTCTCTCTCTCTCTCTCTCTCTCTCTCTCTCTCTCTCTCTCTCTCTCTCTGTTTGCAAAGACGCTTGTGCATACACACACACACACACACACACACACACACACACACACACACACATACACACACACACATACGTTGCGCTCGTGCCCAGTCGACCTAATTGGAACAACGTTCTACTTGCCAGTTGTCAGAATCCCCAGATGTGATCAAACTCGGGCAAATTCCGCTCAGTTTTCTGTTGTAGCTGTGCATGTGGACAGATGTCAGCAGAGGGCGCTATCATCACATACTCGCAAGCACACACAGGCACACGCACATCTTGCCCAGCTAGCTGTAACCGGCTAGCGAGTCTGTTGTCGAGTTGACACCCTCCTCCCCAAACCTCGGCAGCAGCTAAGCTGCACAGTCGACATGGCAAGAAAATATCGCAACAATTTCCTAAAGAAAGATGAAAATCTTCCAAGTCTTTTGGAATGAGTGAGTAGTTTTGACGATGACTATGGATTTGTCCAGTGATAATCTAATGCTAGAAGCCGCATGTTTTGTTTTAGTCACATTTATGACGCATAGCTATGGATAGTTGTTGCTACCGCGGATGGTAGCTAGCTAACGTGCTAACCGCTAGCAGAGGGAGGAGTAACGTTATGGTTTGTTCGCTAGGCTGTTACTTGGGTTAGTCGTTGTTGAAAACGGGATGGAAACACAATCCACAATGAGTATGAACATTCTGAACTCAATAAAATAACCGTGTCTGGTGAAACTAAACATATTTCCAAGGCAAATTGGTTTTGAATGCTATCGTTACATAATCTCGCTGTTGCAAATCCAATGGCTACACTTTCCAGTGTCACTGGTTCTGCCATAGCTATCGTTTCCTTGACCAACACACAATATAGTAACTCATGTTCTGAGCTGTGCAATTGATTCCTTGTCACATCTACATTTATTATAATTACGTTGACACATGACCAACCAATGGTAAATTTTATAAAATGAGAGTATTACGTTTTCTATGTTTTAATCGGACGACGTTTGCTTGCTAGCGAGCCTAGCCAACTAGCCACCCATAGCTTAGCATGCTAACACTGAGCTAACGTTACCTACAATTAGCTAGCTAACGTATCCCTCAGATACATTTCAATGTGTGTATAACTAAACATTTATATAATTACAGCCACAATAGAAAACTAGTTTAGCAAAATTAAAACTATTGGTTGCAATATGTTTTACAACTCTAATAGCAGACGATAGCTTTATAACAAGTTAGATAGCGCAGAGGGACTTGGTTGTTAGCCTCTTCAGGACCCTTTGTCCACAGTCACAGTGGTTACCAGCTCTTCTTAGTAGGCCACACAGCAGTTGTTTTGATCCTTCTCCGCCGGTAGTTTACTCTGTATTTTACAAATATGTGCTGCCCCTCCTATTTTTTGTTTGTTTTGTGTTACGACTGAACACCACATACCGGCAGTAACGATTATCTAAGGCAAATATTGTTTTGATGATATATTTTCCTTTGTTTAATATAGTATAGTACCATTAGCCACTGCCTGTTTAATGCATTTCTTAACTGAATGTGCACTCGTACAAAACACACCCATGCTGGACTGTTGGAGTACAAATTAAAAAAGAGTAATCAACGTGATTTTGAATTGTATGCACATTTGTCAAAATCAGGGGATGTTTGCACACTTCTAATTATCTTTCTCTCTCTCTTTTACAGTATTCATCGTGCGATGTGATCTAAAATCCACAATGTGTGAGGACATTTAAGAATAATTGAGTTCGAAAGAAAAATCTTGATTCCAGTGGAATCTTCCATATATATATTATTATTAGATTGTTTTTCTCTGTGTTAAAGCTTACACACATTTACACACTCGTCCCATCAACATATAACCATGCCAGTGCAAGCACCACAATGGACGGAGTTCCTGCTGTGCCCAATCTGCACACAGACATTTGAGGAGACTGTTCGTCGGCCCATCAGCTTGGGCTGTGGACATACTGTCTGCAAGATGTGCCTGAACAAGTTGCACCGTAAGGCCTGTCCCTTTGACCAGACGGCCATCAGCACAGACATCGAGCAGCTACCTGTCAACACAGCCCTGTTGCAGCTGGTGGGAGGCCAGGTAAGAGTTTTTATATTTCCACACTTGTTTGGCAATTTGGGACAAAGATGTTGTGTCGATATTTAAACAGTCTGCCGGGACATTGTTGCAGCTAGCTTTTGATGAAAATAACAGCAGTGATGTTTTAACAGTTTAAGATACCATATCTATCTTGAATATATTATGTTTTTGCAATATTTGTGTATGGATTGCATTAGAGTGCTACACACAGGCTATTACATGATGCTCATAGCTTGGATATTCCTTTATGCACCAGCCATTGAGCGATTGCTTTAATTATGTCGGTTTACTGAGTGCTGGCACAATAGTTGAAGCTTTATTTTTCTGTGGTAGTTTTTTAACCAACGGCGTGAGAAACATTTAATGGTGTTTGGCTTTTGTTGGCAAAGTTACCTGGTATACACTGTTTAATAATGGATAATGTCAGTGCGTCAACCATGAGCCGGTTATGTGTCTGATTTAGCTGCTGGAGGTGTCTTGTCTCTTAGCTTAGTGCCTTGCATCCATGTGGTCCTACATATTAGTACCCAATCAAAAAATATAACTTCAAAATACATTTTTTTAATAATAGTTATTTACGTTTTGTTGTTGATGTCAATAACCTCATTTATCAAATACAATTCCTGAGAGCTTCAGGTTGGTTTGGTCAGTAAAAAAGCAAAAGGTCAAATGTAAAGATTGTTAGTTAAGTTTTTCAAATGTTGTCATTGGCTTCCTAAAAAATGCACATGCATTGCAAATCTGGTAAATTGTGCTTGCCTTGCTACAAAGTGTGATACCATATAGCAGCCTGAGCAGGAAAATACAAACATGATGAGAAATGCTCTCCCTCCGGTATCATTGCTCTTTTAAAAATTATTTCTATTAGCATTGTCAACTGGGAAACAAGCAGTTCAACAAGCCACAGCGTAGAGAGAATAGAGCAGTACAATACAGTGATTCTTAACATGTTAAATATTATTCATGTAGTCAGTTATTTCCTTGTTTTGACCATACTGTCAGTATGGTTACCAATGTACTTGAAGAATCAGTGCACATTAAGTTTTATTATTTATTTATGTTTCAGTAGGTAGGGTGTGTTGGTCGATTTTTGTTGATAAAACAAAATGCCTGTGCAAGTTTAAAATATTTTACCATAACATTTCCTTATGGCCCTTTTTCTGCCCAAATCTACCTGCACGTACACGCATTGGTATTAAAAAATAATTGGATAATTATTTAAAATTGTACTAAAAGACATCACCTATCATGGTGGCTTTTGGCTAATTTCTCCCCCTCTGTGTGTCTTGCCTCAGGTTCCTAAGGTTCAGCCAGTCGCCTTGATTACCAGTCCAGAGGACTCGCAGCATTATGAGGAGGCCCGGCAGTGTGTGGAGGAGCTGGCCCTCTACCTCAAGCCCCTCAGCAACACCAGAGGTACACATACACAACACAACCTGATTCTGTTGCTTAAAAACATGCCTATAACATTGCTTGCAAAGGATGAATTATAAAAGAAGAATATTAATTGAATATGAGTGTATGTTCCCTCAGTTTACCAGTTGTCTAATCTCTCACCAGGTGTGGGCCTGAGCAGCACAGCCCAGAGCATGCTGAGCCGACCCATGCAGAGGAAACTGGTAACTCTGGTCCACTGCCAGCTGGTGGAGGAGGAGGGCCGCGTTAGAGCCATGAGGGCAGCCCGCTCTCTGGGGGAGAGAACCGTCACCGAACTCATCTTGCAGCACCAGAATCCACAGCAGCTCTCTTCCAATCTGTGGGCTGCTGTGCGTGCAAGAGGATGTCAGTTTCTCGGGCCAGGTAGGTTTCCCATCACCTGCAAATAGGAAAAGCACAATTAACATTTTTAGAAGAAGTACGTACATTCTCTGTAAAAACTCGCTTAGGCATTCAACTGTTACTCATGGTTTTTATGTTTGTGTTATTTTCTCCCCTAGCCATGCAGGAGGAAGCTCTAAAGTTGGTCCTTCTCGCTCTAGAGGATGGCTCTGCTTTGTCCAGGAAGGTGTTGGTTCTCTTTGTAGTCCAAAGGCTCGAGCCACGCTTCCC